TCCTCCTCCTCCTTCTTTCTCTAGAGACAAGGGTCACAGTCTACTGAGCCGTTTTCATCATAAGCCAGCAAGGGAGGTGAGGAGAAGTTATCCTTCCTTGCACAGTCTCTGTTGTCTCCCAGTCTCAGTGATTAATCAGGGGGCAAAGGTCGGGGGGGGGGAACCCGGGCCCACCCTCTACTCCGGGCTCCAGCCCAGGGGCCCTAATAGTATCAGCTATGGTAGCTGACCTTTTAGAAACATGACATGTACAATTCCCTGGGCTACTTCCCCAACAGCAGCCCTCAATTCCCCAAGCTCCACTTCACGCTTACCTCAGGGCTTCCTTCCTTGTGCCTGATATGGTGTGTACTACTCAGCCTCTCCAACAGTGCAACTTCCTTCCACAGCTCCTGACATGCACACCCACCTGATTGACTGGGAGGCTTTTAACTAGTTTCAGCCAGCCCTGATTGGCTTCAGGTGTCCCAATCAACCTAGCCTTCTCCCTGCCTTCTGGAAAGTTCTTAATTGGCCCCAGGTGTCTTAATTGACTGGAGCAGCTTCCATTTCACTTAACCTGGTACCAGGGATTTGTTTAGCCTGGAGCTAATATATCTATTTCCCACTACTTTTCTATAGCCATCTGGCCTTGCCCCGTCACATCATATATAATCCGTTCCAAAACCCAAATAATTTTTGTTGACTTCTCTGTACTGTTTCCAATTTTAATCTTTTTTTGAGATGGGGCAACCAGAACTACACACAGTATTCAAAGCATCAGCAAAACATAGGTTTATAAGGCAGCATTATATTTTCTCTTTTCTCATGGTTCCTGACATTCTGTTAGCTTTTTTGACTGGTGCTGCACATTGAGCAGAAGTTTTCAGTGAACTATCCATGATTACTTCAAGATCTCTTTCTTGAGTGGTAACAGCTAATTGAGACCTCATCATTTTGTATGTCTGATGTATGAATAATTGGGATTATGTTTTCCAATATGCATTACTTTGCATTTATCAACATTGCATTTCATCTAGCATTTTGTTGCCCAGTCACTCAGTTTTATGAGATCCCTTTGGACTTATTTTGAGTAACTTAGTATCGCCTGCAACCTTTGGCACTTTACTGTCTAGCCCCTTTTCCAGATCATTTATGAATATGTTGAACAGCACTGGTTCCAGTAAAGATCCTTGGGGGATGTCACTATTTACCTTTCTCCCCTGTGAAAACCAACTGTTTATTCCTACCCTTTGTTTCCTGTCTTCCTAACCAGTTACTAATCCATTCGAGGACCTTCTGTGTTCCCATGACTACTAGTTTCGTTAAGAGCCTTTAGTGAGGGACCCTGTAAAAGGCTTTCTGAAAATCCAAGTACACTATATCAAATGGTTTCAGAGTAGAAGCCGTGTTAGTCTGTATTCGCAAAAAGAAAAGGAGTACTAGTGGCACCTTAGAGACTAACCAATTTATTTGAGCATATGCTTTCATGAGCTAATCAAGGTCACTACAAAAGATTTTCATTCGATGCATCCAATGAAGTGAGCTGTAGCTCACGAAAGCTTATGCTCAAATAAATTTGTTAGTCTCTAAGGTGTCACAAGTACTCCTTTTCTTTTTGCGAATACAGACTAACACAGCTGCTACTCTGAAACCTATTACTGAACAGTTCTGTTACCCCTTGGATCAGATCCTGTGCTCCACTTAGGACTGAATCAAGAAGTGACTCTCCCCTTGTGGGTTCCAGGACTAGCTGCTACAGAAAACAGTCATTTATGGCATCTTGAAATTTCTGCATCATGCCCTGAGACGATGTTTACCCAGTCAGTATGAGGATAGTTGAACTGCCCCATATTATTGTACTTTCTGTTTGGTAGCCTCTCTAACCTCCCTTGGCATTTCACAGTCACTTGTCACCCTCCTAGTCAAGTGGTCGATAGTATATTCCTACTGCTATACTCTATTATTCAAGCAAGAATTTCTATCCATAGAGATTCAATGGTACAGTTTGATCCATTGAAGATTTTTACCTTATTTGACTCTATGCTTTCTTTCATATATAGTGCCACTCCCCCACCAGCACAACCTACTTTGTCATTCCTATACACTTTGTTATTCCTTTACACTTTGCATCCTGTTATTACCATGTCCCGCTAATAAACCTCATTCCACCAACTTTCGGTGATGACTAGTATATCAATATCCTCGTTTAATACCAGGCACTTAAGTATTTAGACCCATCTTAGTGTTTAGACCTCCAGCACTTGTACATTTGGTCAGTGTTTAGTTGCTTGCCTTCATGTGTTATTTTTAAATGGCACTCTTGTACTTTAGACTGTTCCTCACTAGCTCTTACCTGTACATTACCAACTTCTTTTCTATCTGCTTTATTTGGATATAGAGTTGCCCCTTCATCCCTAAAGGATGTCTCTTCCCAAACTGTCTGCTCCTCTACACCTGTCAGTTTAAAAAAATCCTCTGCAACTTTTGATGTGAACACAGCAAAATCAGGACAGACATAATTCCATGTATAAGTGACAGGCTGCAACTTTTATTAAATTTTAACACAGGGTAGGGGCGCTACCCGCCCTCTATAACACTGATAGAGAGATATGCACAGCTGTTTGCTCCCCAGGTATTAATCACTTACTCTGGGTTTATTAATAAACAAAAGTTATTTTATTAAGTAAAAAAAGTAGGATTTAAGTTGTTTCAAGTAATAACAGATAGAACAAAGCAAAATAAAACAAAGACATGCAAGTCTAAGCCTAATACATTAAGAAACTGATTACAGGTAATATCTCACCCTCAGAGATGTTCCAATAAGCTTCTTTCACAGACTAGACTCCTTCCTAGTCTGGGCCCAATCCTTTCCCTTGGTACAGTCCTTGTTAGTTCCAGTAGACATCTCAGGTGGTAAGCAGGGGTTCTCTCATGACTGGCAGTCCCTTTTGTCTTGCTCCACCCCCTTTTATAGCTTTGACACAAGGCGGGAATCTTTTGTCTCTCTGGGTCCCCACCCCTCCTTCTAAATGGAAAAGTACCAGATTTAAGATGGATTTCATTATCGGGTGACATGGTCACATGTCACTGTAAGACCCCTAATCTCCATTCCCCATTGGCTGGCCCACACATACACAGGAAGGCTTTCAAGTAACTAAGGCCATTTACAACTGATTGTTTCTGGAGCACCCTTAATGGCCTCCACTTAATATGTTTACATCAGTGATACAAGTGTATATCTTATTCGCCTAACTCCAGATATAGAAATAATGCATGCAAACAAATAGAATGAACACACTTAGTAGATTACAAGCTTTCTAATGACACCCTACAAGAGGTATTTAGCATAATGCATATTCCAGTTATGTCACATTCATAGACATATTTCCATAAAGCATATGGAGTGCAACATCACAGGGATGTCTACACTGTAGCTGGGAACAAGCCTCCCAGCACAAGTGAAAAGACTCACACTAGCTCCATAAAGTTAACGCACTACAAATAACAATGTTGACATTGCAGCTCCGATAACAGCTCAGGCTCTCAAGACCACTTGGCCCATTAGTCTGAGCTTGGGCAGCAGCTCAGGCTAGCCACCCAAACAGCAACATTCACACTGCTATTTTTAGTGCATTAGCTTGAGCAGAGCTACCGCAAGTCTGTCTATCCAGGCTGAGAGTGTTGCTCCCAGCAGTAGTGTAGGCACTATAATTATGTCTACACCTTAATTCAGCTTTGTCACCAATAAATCCAAATTAAGAACTAAAGCAGCTTCCCACATCAGTTCTGAACTAAACGTAAATCCCAGGGTGAGGAGCCTGTGCAAGGTGTATTCCAATTTCCACTCTATCAGGCAACTTGGGAATGACACTGCTTCAGTTAAAACTGATGACTCTAATGTAACAATGAGATTGCCTATTTCCCTGGAGCCACTAAAGGTGATTCTGTGGATTACTATCCACTTGAACATGAGTTGAAACAATCATTCATTTTGTCTTTTTTTGAGGCAAAGAGGAAAGAAAGATTTTAATTAACCAGGTTTGTGATAAATATTTTTTAAAATAAAATGAATTTCTGAAAGGAAAATGACATAGAAAAATGTTGACACTGACTGTCCAAAGTTATTTAATAATTGTCATTTCGGCCTTCTTGGTAATTTCCTAGTCATTCACTAAGTCTCAGTGGTACATTCTTGTGACTTCATTTCCAAAAGGAAATAAAATATCCCAACATCCAATTATCTTTTACATGTAGGGAAAACATTAATAAAGGGGTATTTGGTATTGATATTCAAAAATGTATTACAGGCAGTGGCCCCATAAGACAGCAGTCATCTGAGACATGCACCAATAAGTCTACCAACGCACATCCTATTGTGGCTTATTGCTGTACTAAAAAAAAAAACCAAAAAAACAATGAACACTCCCAAGAAATAGGAGAAAATCTGGAAATAGTCATATGAAAAGCTACATACAGAAATTATGCACAATACTCAAAATATTCACAAAAGTCAAATAAAAGATTTTCAAAAAGAGTTATATTCTACTGTGATGAGGGTGTGCCTCTCCATCACATCCTCTTGTGGCATGTTGTGGTCCTGTAGATGCACTGCACTCAAGTGTCCCTGGGATCTTTTCGAACTGTTACTCAGACTAGGTTACTTCAACCCCTCTTTGTAGGGTCTGTTTTTTTCACAGTTCCACAATATAACCCTTTACAGGGTTGGTTTATTCACTCATTCTACACAGGTAACTTACTTCTTTAGACTCCCCAGTTCATGCCCTTTCTGGGTCCATGTCTACACTGCAATTAAACACCCACGACTGGCTTGTGTAAGCTGAATTGGGCTCCCAGGGCTCAGGCAGCAAGTCTGTAAAACTGCGATGTAGTCATTTGGGCTTAGGCTGGAGCCCGGGACTCTCTGGAGTCCTGAAACCTGGGCTCCCACCCGAGCCTGAGTATCTACACCACAATTTTACAGTTCTGCAGCCTGAGCCCCACAAGTCAGCAGACACAGGCAAGCCATGTGTGTCTAACTGTAGTGCAGATATACCCTAGAAGTCCTGGTCAGCTTCCTCCACTGTTCATGAGGCCTCAGTCCTCCTCCTGGAGCTGGAGTGTACTTCAGACAATCCCCTTGTCCCTCTCTGTAATACAGGAGCTTCCTAGCTCTCCTCCTTGGGTCTGGACTTAGACTTTAGGCCAGCTGTTGAGTCTCCGGCAGCTTCTCTTCCCGGCTGGCCCTTTTCCAAATCAGTCCTTCTATCTTCAGGCTGTGAGGGCTCAGCAGCCAGACATTCTTCTGCTGGTGCCTTCTCCCTGTTAACTCAGGGCCCTACAGGAGCCTCCTTATACTCCCTACAGCATCCAAGGGCTTTTGTGCACTATTGAGGGAGGAGGCAGCATTTATACTGCCCCCTTCTCCCACCTTAGTTCTTCACTGGCTAGGTGAGAAGGACACCTTGCCCCAACTGCTTTGCAAGGCTCCTGGCCCTGAGTCATTAAAGGAACAATAACAAGATCTCTTCTCCAATCACTATGTATTCTCAGGGCCAATTTCTCTCTAGCTCTATCCTCCTTAGGTCTATCAATCTACCTACCTATCTATCTAGTGGACCCTTAGCAGGACATGCTCTGAAGCAGGGTGGACTCAGCACTAGGTATTACTGCTTTTAAGGGGCAGACCGTTCTATCATATCTACAGTATGGCAAGAAACAATACAAGGAATATTTGTTACCAAACTGGTAACATGGCCATTGGACTCTTTACCGTTATCTGAAGTGAGAATAGATAAGACATAAATTGCAGTATGTTACATAACTGTAGATCAGAGCTACTCAGCTGCTTTAACAAAAACGACGTAGATTATCATATTATGTTCATACTGCAATATGGATTCTTCATCAGGTTACTCTGCATAATATTTATTCATGCCCTATGACAGATACAATGACATGTTTTTTTTATAAAAAGAAAGTACTGTTCAGAAAGGTTTTCATGTTCATTACCTTTCAAATATCCTTCTCTCAACCTCTCATTTTGTAGGAAAGACAACATTTAATATTTAAAATATATGTATATACTTTAATTTGTTTGATGAATGATGATATCTAGTATCCATTTTTGGATGCTATTCTCACTTGGCAATTGTCTTGATAACGTATCTACCACTTCGTCGCAATGAGATAAGCAATACATTTGTTATAGTAACTCAGGCCTGATTACTCCAGTTGATTTATGTAGTTCTCATCCTTTGGCTGAATTTGTAGCCTGTATCTTGCTCACTGGGGAACAAATATTATGCTTACAATAATGAAGGTAGTACAATAACTTCCAAGTGACTGACTGACTTCATGAACTGGAAAAACATTTTCCTATTTTTTTTAAACTAAAGGTCAGTAGCTTTACCCAGCTGCCATAACAGATTAATCAGACCTACTGTATATTTTTTAAAAAGTACATTTATGTACAAGAATCTCAGCAAGAACCCACTCACTGATTGGTGCTAATAAAAGGGCTTAGTTTGGATGCCCCCAAGCCTAAAAAGAAGAGGGAAACAGTGACAGAATGGTGCTGTGTAATTTATCATTGAGTAGCCATTGATTATGATGTATTGAGCTCTCCATGACACACTTGAGGGCACACTGGTAGGGCTCCTTGAAGATCAATGATTACACTAAAAAATGCCATTTTAAGGCACATTCATCACCCACTATCAATAGCCTTAAAATGGTCTCCAAGACATACGATCCTTATAAGCATAGCTGCTAGGCTGTCTTCGATCACTTGTCACCCTCTGACTCAGTTCTTGTTACCAGCAACTACTGCACATGTTCCCACCTTCTGAAGGAATTTGGCTTTTACAGAAACAAACAAAAAACAGGCAAATATAGGAGCTGCATTAACTGTAGTCAAGATATTGAAGAACAATGAGTTTGTTCCATAACTTGTGGTACAAATGGGGCAAGACCTGAATGATTTTTATTCTTTCACGAGGCTGAAAAATTCCATTCTATCGATCATACAGTTTTGCGTGCCACTGTCAATCAATTATGGGATTCAGACTTAAAGAAAAGTATCCTCTGCTCTGAATAACAGTAACCTGGACTAGTAGAGAAGGAAAGACAAACTAAGTGTAAAGATTTGTTTCACTCCCCATGTACAGAGGAAAAGTGTAATTAGGAATTTGCATCTCCTCCCCTGCCAGGGGAGCTTGACCAGCAAGGACACACACCCCAACAGGACAGGAGTTTTATACTGTGTGCAGGGCCCTGTAGGAGTCCCAGGGATGGGGACTGGCATGGAAGTGCCTTGAAAAGATGTCTCAAGGGTTTGCTAGCCCACTCACTGTGTGTGTCATGCTGGCCAGCTCGAGATCTGCTGATAGAGTGGGGACTGCATGTGACTTGCCTCATTGTAGCTGGACTGCAGACAGGGTTCCTACCAACAGTGTGAATCGGGCTTATTGAGTAAACCTAAGGCTTCCTGAACCACACTGTGAATGGCTGCACTGAGTGACTCACAGTGGAGGGAGGCATAATATTCCCAGGCACTGTGAGGAAGGGCACTCACTGGTGGTCTCTGCTACGCTCTGTAAGGGTATATTGTAGCATGCTTCCCCCAACACAGCCTGATGCATGGAGGATGCCTACTCCCAGCCCATCATGAAATGACCCTTCTGGGCTATGCTGTACTAGCTTTCCAAAAGAGATGCTGTGGGTTTGTCCTGACCAAGGTCAAAAGATGTACCAGAAATTCAGATAAGCTCAGGCTACGGGGGGAAAAAAAAAGGATCCAGTTCTGAATTAGCAATGCCCAAAACTTCAAGGCTTTAGTTTGGGAAATTATAGAGATGGGGCCAAGCTGCGCAGTTCAGATTCTTAAATCATTACTTCCCCAAATTTGGGTGTGTGTGTGTGTGCTTATATCCAAGCTTTTTATTGAGACCCATCTCTCATTTTATACTGGAATTTGCTATTGAGAAATGGTGTGTACAATGGTTCATATACACATATATTAAAAAGAGACAATTATAGCTCCTGCTGCATGAATAATTCCCATGCCAACAATATTGTAAAAATTAGCAGAAAATATCACAACTCACTCTAGGAGAATTACATTTCCTGTGGTTTGTTAAATATTTTTCGAACCTCCCCTACCCCCAGTATAATCAAACACCTGTTCTTTATGAACTACACAGTGGTGTATATTTAAAGATACAAGAGAAAGTCACAGAGCAGCTTCAGCAAATGTGATGTCCTGGACAGGAAGTAAACATGGTGTCACTACTTTAAAAATAAATACATAAATAAAAAGCTTAGCCTCGCTTCACTGTTTACAACTAATGTAGTTATTATATTAAGCAACAGGACTTTTAATATCTAATTACAGTATTTATTCTCCCAAACAGACTTCAAAGTCATTATGAGAATCTGGTTAGTTGTTTCAGATGAGCAATTTAATGTTTAGGCTAAATAAATAGTGCTTATGGGATAATTATTTTGAATCTTATTTAGGAAAACAAAATTAAATCACATTTTAAATTTTCTAGCCTTTTGGATAGAACCAAAGCCAAGATCCAAACTCAAAACATTGTGGAAGTTCCACTCTGGGCCTACAACTGGATTGTGCAGCTGGATCTTTGTGACTGTGCAGGCTGCCTGGAGTCCCACTGAAGTGGATAAGGCTTGGCATAGGTGCTTACAAGACTGGAGCCTGGATGAAGATCCAAACTTTGCAGTTCATCTGTGCTGCAAAGAAAGTGCAACATGTGAGCTGAAGTTTGTTGGGGGAGTGGGGTTGGTGTAGAATGCGTAAAGTAAACATCATAGCATCTGCCTGGTTAAAGTCGCAAAACAGTTTTCATTACTGTCCCTGCTCTCCCTATTTTTTGGAAGCATAACTTTTCAGGCTGAAATTGCCCAGGTTTCAGCTCTGCCTGATGGAGAATTATTCAAGCTGATTTTGAGTGAGAAGAGAGCAAAAATCTATCTTTCCCCTTTCAAAATATTTACAGTTTACACAGCTGAAGTGTAAAAGTTGCAATCTGCCTTGGTATAAATGAATGGCCTTCTCCTGGAGGAAACTGGTTTTGATTTCACCAAGCAATACGCCTTTGAAAATCATACAACAGTATGCAAAGTATATTTTTGTGCCGACTCTCATTAAGTCCCTGATTCAAAGACCACTGAAATCATCAAGACATGACTTCAATTGGCTTTGGATCAGGCCTGAAGTTCCTGCCTAAGGAAGGTGCTGCGTGTTTCTGTAAGTTTGTGTAACTATGCTGTGAACTATCCTCAGAAAGGCTCCCTCAAACCAGTCAAAACACTTCAAAATTTTGAGGAATAGCCAGATTCCGGTAAAAAGGGATGATCTTTCTCCTGGTTTTCCCACCAGCCTAGGGTACTGGCGTAGATCTAGGAGCCATGAGATCCCAAACTCTAAGCCCACCTCTTCTCTTAACTGGCCTTCACAAATCTTTTCATTTCATAAGCCTTATTTAGGGTACAATTCTGAAAGGTGCTGACCACTCTGCATCTGATGCAGCAAAGTACTTAAGCATCTGAATAGTCCCACTGGCTTCAATGGGTCAATGTGCTTACAGTGAAGCATGTGCTTAAAGTGCCTTGACGGATCAAGACTCCAAGTTCTCAGTACCTTGCAAGTTAGAGCCCATGAGGAGACCTCATTCCTCTCTTTAAAAAAAAAAAAAAAAAAAGGTATGCTTCAGTAAAAGTGACCATACATGAATCGGAAGGAATATACACTCTCTCCACAGACAGAGATGTAGAAATGTGAGGGTTTCAGGAAGTTTGTGAGGAATTTTATCCGTCTATGTGTTTTCCAACTTGATTAGAAAAATGTAAGGTTTTAAATTCTCTACATATATAATTTATCAAATTATGTGTAATCAAAATATTAAAAGTGTAAACTAAAAGTTGTTAAACCTTGATCCTGTGAACATGCAAGTGCTTATCTTTAAGCATGTAAGCAGTATTTAAAAGTTAAGCATGTGCCTAAGTATCAGAGGGTGGCCGTGTTAGTCTGTGTCCACAAAAACAACGAGGAATCCGGTGGCACCTTAAAGACTAAGTGTTTGCCAGATTCTTTTTTAACTGAGAAGATTTACATTTGTGGTTTTCACTTTAACATAAATTAAGAAGCAATTTATTACCTGTCAAGGGAAATGTAGTTGTATTGCTAAATTACTGAAGAATAACAGAATTAATAAGATGTAAATTTGTGGTTTTCATGACAGACTTTATATGATTAGGGTCATAGTATTGCAATTTTCCCCTTTCAAATAGAGAACAATAATGTGGGGGAAATAAATACGTCTTCTCAGATTGTAATGTCTCAACTCTTTTTGAATTCCTCTTTCCATAAAGGACCAGAATGAAAAGACATCGAAACACTGCACAGTATTGATCTTACCAAAAATGCAGAAATTGTCCAAAAAATCATCTTTGGTCAAACTATTTTTTGAGTTATATCCTATAATCTACTGCAGCACACACATAAAATGAGTCAAATGCGTGAATTTGTCTGTAGGAAAAATGAGCTGGGGGGGAATCTTGGGAGCTGGTTACTCGTCATTTTACCTAGCATATTTGACTAGCAGAGGGAAACCAGTTGGTCTAGACTGTTAAGTAGGCAAGAGCATAAAGGTTTTATTCCTGTTTCATTATACAGGTCAAAGACACAAAACAATACCATAGAATGCTTGAAAACAAAGCCTGATGAATTATGTGATGTCAAGGTTTCTTGGACAACGCTTCTAACAGCTTGGCTCACAACACCATTCTATTCACACACACAAAAGGTTCATTTAATTTTTGCTCCAGTCTGAGATAATTGTCCAAACTAAAAGAAGAAAAATGAAAAAACCTCATGTTCTGCAAGAAAAGTTAAGGACAAGGTAATTTATATTAGGACTAATTTCCCCATCCATTTCTCCATCTTTTTATACACATTAGAGAAAGGGAAGGCTTGTGAGTTGATGGCATTGAGATGGATAACAGAGAAGAGATACATAATGTAGGTCTTAACTCCATACCTGGCACTACCGCAGTGCTGAAGGATTAGAATACTGTCAAGTATCAAGACATGGCTTTGATGTGCTGGATTTGGGGCAAGGAACAATTTCAACTGACGCAATGTGGTTGAATGAGTACATTTTTCTAGATACTTACACTGTGTTCAGCACCATGATATCTAAGTGCACAACGTATTTGTCTTCAATTTACTGATGGAGAAACTAAGGTACAGAGTCATCAAGAGATTTGCCTAACATCACACAGTGAGTCAACAGTGGAATGGGAGTTAGGCCTCAAATCTCCTGACTCGTAGGTCCTGGGTTTACCCCTTACATCATGTTACCTGCCTAGACATCAGCCTGATCAGTATTTCTTGTTTTTGCCTAGATTGAAGAGCCAGTCTTACACAATCAGGGCTATGACTGATGGAGGCCTTGACTGGTTACTTTGAGAGCTGAGGAATCAAGACATGAACTGATTGTGATTATGAGTCAAGTGAGCTCTTCTTCATGCAGGCCTAGCTCAGTGCAGGGGTGCCTCACTCAACAAGAATGCTGCATCAAGCACCACCAGACAAGTGGATCAAGACTCGGAGTTTGTAAAGCTTCATTGCATTATGGTGACACCACACACCCAGCCAAGCTGACTGCCTCAACATTGTCAGTCAAGGAACAGCCTTTTGAGCCTATATCAATGGGCCTGTAACGATGAAGGCAACAATAATATAGAATAAAGATGACCAGTTATGACAACTATGGATTGCCTGAGGTCATATTATTCAAGGATTCCAGCTCAGCTTCTGCCAACAGAGCCAGAACTGAAGCACTCAGATAGCGGGCACTCTGAGGTTCAGTGCTTGGAAGCCCTGACTGACCCAAGATGTGATGTTGCAAAGCAACCTGGCTCATCATTAACAAAAAATACTGAGAACACTGGGGGCTAAAGAGGTTAGGAAAGAATGCTAAATCGGTGAGTAAGAGGAGAGAGTTGAGGAGGTATCAAAGAGGATGAGGCTCCCATATTATTTGACATACTTAGCTACAGCATCTTTCACAGATGGCAGGCAAAATGGAACTAGTGGTAGGCACAACAGGAGTTGCCAATATTCTATGGTCTCTGCCAGAACAAAGAGATGTAGAATTTTGAGCCTAGGGAGCTTCCTCCTGCTTGATTTCAGAGATACGGACCCAAAAGCAGTGATCTGTTATGATGAGGTACCTTTCAGGGAAAGAAAAAGAAACACAAGGAGATCACACAACTGTATACAAACCAATGGAGTGCTTTCTGCATGACACATCTAGACTTCCAAAATCTCTGAAAATTTAGATGCTTGAAAAAGGAGCTGAAACAAAATATTCTTGATGGTAGATAATCTTCCTTACCATTGCTAAGATATGTTTTTCTGACCTTTACTGAATGAAAAATTTTATCTTAGAAGCTCATTTTACTTTCCCGTTTTAAATAATGAAACTTATGTATCTTATTTAAAATTGGGAAAGCAGAAAAATACATATCTATCATGAGGGAAAAGATGGAGAAAGCACCAAGACACATTTATTATTTCTATAAAATATTCAAGTACAATTTGCAAGGAAGTTGCTATTGCCTTCCTTGGTACTTTTAAAGAGAGTTTGTTTGCTTCTAAATATTTGCGCCAACTAAAGAAAAGAAAAACAAAAAGGCAAAAGTTTGTGAGGAGGAATACCATAGTATAAAGAGTAGCCTTTCTTTGAGTGGCAGCATGGCACAACTTCATACTGAATGAGTAACTTATCTTTGGGGTGAGCACTGAATCTGGTAACACTTCACGCTGTCCGGGAACAGATTCTAGGTTATAAATATTCTATTTGCCTTTTTTCTTTTTCTGCAGTTTATTAAGACAGCATCCCGAGCTGTGCTCTAAAGTCAAGTCAGGTGAATATAAAACCCAATTAAGAATCCTTGATACAGGCAGACAGGCATGTAAATAAAATACAACTGCGTTAACCCTGATGCAGATTTGCCATCTGACTTTTACACTTGTTTTAAAATTAGAGCAACTGTAAGAATGAGACAAAAGAGACGCAAATAGGCTTTTTTGGCCATGGGTGATAAACAAAACAAAAAGACCCACGTGTAATACATTAAAAATTAAGAAACTCATCTACTAGCACTCCAAACATACTTAATAACTAACAGCATTGCAAAAGGGAGTGAAATTTCAGAGTCAAAAGCCTGTGAGCACAAATAGTCCTAGGCAATTTATAATTCTGTACAGTAAATAGCAAGGTCCATAATTCATAGGCTGAGCATTAATGAGAATATTTGTTACCTATACCCATAAGAAAGATAAGGAGTTCTATAATGTGGTTTATCCTGTACTTTGTGCCTTTCAAGGGCAGCAGGGAAAGCATCCTGAAAGCAAAAAGCAACAAGAAATATTGCAATGACCTACAGATTTCCTATTTTCACATCAAACTAATATATGTATAGAGACGTTAAAGAACAATTCATCACCACTGATAGTTTCCAAATAACTAGATGCTTTTTAATTGCTAGTATAATTAACCTTAATGGTATAATTCTATAGCTCCCAAAAATAATAATAATAATTTCCCATCACTACCAACTCACTCAGCAGATCTAGAAAAAATGATGTACAGCAAAATCACTGAGACGGGAAAACAATTTAAAAAGGGGAAAAAATTTACACATAAGAACTGTAACTTTATCAGATTTATCTGCCATTATTGTCAGCACTGAAGGAGTAAATATATGCAAGTTAACTTCTTTAGACAAGTCATATATATTAATAATTACCAACTGCCTATTGGTTTTAGGTGACCTTTTTCAAAAACATGCCAGCTCTCTCAATTTCGACTAAGCACTGCAGTTCATCTTTTAAAATCAGCAATGTTTTGAACGATTTATTCATATGTACCCACACTCCCAGCAACATTCCCTGCTGAAATAACCTCTAGTGAAGACACAGTGACATACGTCTTTGTTGCTAAGCTTAATCTATTAGCCATGCATAACAAAAAAATGGATGGTTTTGCTTCTTTAGGTTAATGGGTAGATGTGGTCAAATGTCATCTCTCCCTAACAGCAAAAAATATCGGTGGCATTTTAAAACAGAAAACTAGATGCTCAGTATTAGTCACTAAAGTGGGAGTGGGGTGGGGTTAAAGTAATAGTGACAATATGAAATTTCATATCTACCATTATTTTGTGTTTGATACAAGTTGCCAAAATAACCCACATAATTCTCGATAGCATTCCCATGTCCCCTAACAAGTCTTGCTGGTGTAATCCCTTCCCCTTTGCTTTTTTTCCTTATTTTTTGGTTTTCGGCCAAAAACCTTATTTTTGTAATTGCAGCTGCTGTTTCTACTTTCTCTGAGTTGATCTGGAAACATTCCCAGAAAAGGTGGCAGTATAGATGCTTGAGTGACGAGCAAACAAGTAGTTGCTATTTCAGCACGTTAGAGGGACTGCAGGAATTTGTTAACCATGCTCAGTTGCTGTTTTGAATCTGGTGTGGAAAGCTTCATTAAGGGCAGACATGCATGTGTGTGTGTACATGCAGAAATAATTAGAAGCTGGAAGCTCCTGACCGATCAATTGTGACCTCTATCAGGGGTGCAAAACTGGCAGCCACGCTGAGCACCAGTCAGATCCTTCTCAGCCTTACAGGGAGAAAATAGAGCAGCCGGGGTAAACCAGATTGAATCTGTGGGTTGGCTCCCAATGCAATTGCCTGTAATTTTACAGAAGTCAAGGGGATTGAGACTAGGAAAACACCATAAAGGAGGAATCACAGACTGGAGGCCAAATGTCTTTGTGAGTTGTATTATGTCACTGAACCAAACACATTGTGCGATCCTAACGGCTACAGCAATGGTAATTTCTTATTTGAAGTTGGGCATGTACTCAGTATTGTGGACACTGAAACAACTGGTTATATACTCCAACTAAATGTTTTATCTCGTTGTCAATATAATATCCATAGTAAGCTTGCATATCTGCTTATGTAAAAGCGGAAGATCTCCACTTGTCACAAGTCCCAATCCCTGTACTTATTTTGTGAGGCTTAAACAGGGTTGGCCTTCGGGAAAACAGTGCCCTGGGCGGACATGTATTTTGGCACTCCAGCCTCCACTGCCTCCCCAGGTTCCCCACCCATGCCCTTATTACCACGGCTCCTGCTGCCTCTCCGGGGTCCCCACAGAAGCCCAAGGGGAGGTGCAACAACAGGAGGGTACAAGAGGGCTGTGGCAGCAGGGGAGCAACGCTGAAGAATACTTCTGGAGATGACTCTGAGATGTGAATTGTAAATGTAACATTTTGCAGAGCATTTACTTAGATGCAAGAGTTATTCCCTAAATGTTAAAATGTGACTAAACAGCAAATACATGGAATATCTGGTTATTGTACATAATACTAAAATGTAAGTATATGTGAATTTGCATTGAAGAGTTCTTTCTAACAGCATCAGACACATGCTTGTGAAACTGTGTTCCTGGATGGGTAAAATAATCATCTGGTTCATATGCAGACTTGTGTCCTAGGAGGCACCCAAAGATATTTTGCTTTACATTAAGGGCAATTCCTATGAAATACCCTTTACATTTTTTTTGGCATGACCTAGATTTGTTTTGAAACTCCCAATCATCCTACTGTGCCTTGGTATGTTAGAGCTGGCTGCCCCTTTCTGCAAATTTTCTTTTTTCTGAAGTAATTTGTAAAAGGATCAGCAAAAGTTGGATACAACTTTCTTCAGCAGCAAGTATACCAAAAAAGGCCACCAAGAGCTGGACAAACTAGCAGTATAACCTCAGATATTTTATTGTAACCATCAGTAAAAAGGTTAACTGTTCACATTTTCATTAGTCACAAAAATACTTTTATTTGCTGACCAACTAGAACATACTAGCAAAAGACACAAATATAATAGCAATTTTTTTTAAGTACATCAGAAGCAGGAAGCCTGCTCAACCATCAGTGGGGCCACTGGGCGATCAAGATGCTAAAGAAGCATTCCAAGAAGACAAGGCTGTTGTGGAGAAGCTAAATGAATTCTTGTGTCAGTCGTCACTGTGGGACATTCCCACACCTAAGCTATTTTTTTAAGGGGACACATCTGAGGAGCTGTCCCAGATTGAGGTGTCAATAGAGAAGGTTTTGGCACAAACTGACACATTAAATAGTAATAAGTCACCAGGACCAGATGGTATTCACCAAAGAGTTCTGAAGGAACTCAAATATGAAATTGCAGAACTACTAACTGTGGTATGTAATCTATCATTTAAATCATCTTCTGTACCAGATGACTGGTGGATAGCTATTGAGATAAGGTACTTTAAAAAAAGGCTCCAGAGTGATCCTGGACATTAAAGGCTAGTAAGCCTAACTTCAGTACCAGGCAAATTGGTTGAAACTTTAGTAAAGAACAGAATTATCAGATACATAGATAAATATATATTGGGGAAGAATCAACACATCTTTTGTAAAGGCAAATCTTGCCTAATGCAATCTACTAGAATTCTTTGAGGGTGTCAACAAACGTGGACAAGGGAGATTCAGTCAATATAGTGTATCAGACTTTCAAAAAGTCTTTTATAAGGTCCCTCACAAAAGGCTCTTAAGCAAAGTAAGGAGTCATGGGATAAGAAGAAAGGTCCTATAATGGATCAGTAACTAGTTAAAAGATAGGAAACGAAGGGTAGGACTAAACGGTTAGTTTTCACAGTAGAGGGAGGTAGATAGTGGGATCCCCTAAGGATCTGTACTGGGACCAGTGCTGTTCAATGTATTTATAAATTATCTGAAAAAAGGCATAAATAGTGAAGTGGCAAAGGTTGCAGACGATACTAAATTACTCAAGATAGGTTCAAAGCAGACTGTGAAGTGTTGCAAAGGGATCTCACAAGACTTCGTGACTGGGCAACAAAATGGCATATTAAATTCAGTGTTGATGAATTCAAAGTAATGCATATTGGAAAACATAATCCAAACTAGACATACAAAATAATGGGGTCTAAAGTAGCTGTTACCACTCATGAAAGGGATTGTGGAGTCACTGTGGATAGTTCTCTGAAATCTGCTCAGTCTGCAGCACCAGTCAAAAAAGCTAACAGAATATTAGGAATCATTAGGAAAGGGATAGATAATATGATAGAAAATATGGTAATGACACTATATAAATCCATTGTGCACCCATACCTTGAATACTACATGCAGTTCTGGTCACCCCATCTGAAAAAAGATACATTAGAATTAGAAAAAGTACAGAGAAGGGCAACAAAAATAATTAGGGGTACAGAACAGATTATATATGAGGAGAGACTAAAAAGACTGAGACTGTTCAGTTTAGAAAAGATAAAACTAAGGGGGGATATGATAGAGGTCTATAAAATCATGAATGGTGGAAAACATGAATAGGGAAGTGTTATTTACCCCTTCACCTAACACACAAACCATGGGTCACCCAATGAAATTAACAGGCAGCAGGTTTAAAAGAAACGTAAGTACGTCTTCACACAGCACATAGTCAATCTGTGGAATTTATTGCCAGGGATGTTGTAAAATCCAAAAGTACAAGTGGGTTCAAAAAGAACTAGATAAGTTCATGGAGTATAAGTCCATCAATGGCTATTAGCCAAGATGGTCAGGGATGCCATTCCATGCTCTGGGTGACCCTAAACCTCTGACTTCTAGAAGGGGGCATTGGACAGCAGGGGATGGATCACTCAGTAAATTGCTCTGTTCTGTTTACTCCTTTTAAAGCATCTGGTGCCAGCCACTGACAGAAGACAGGATACTGGGCTAGACGGACCATTGGTCTGACTCAGTATGGCCATTCTTTTGTAACTAAGGATGTTGTTGTGGAGTGTTCTGGAGATGAGAGTACATGCTGGCTCATGGACAAAGCAAGTATATGATATCTAGCACTTCTGTCTAATCAAAGTAGGTAGCAGATTTTATTTTTAAGTTAGTGTTTCCAAGAGATGGTATTTTAGAAACTAATTGGATGGTGGTGGGATATTAAAGGATAGACCTACCAAAATGTTGAAGGTTTAATATTCTCATACATATCCAGGTATTTTTCATAATGATAATCACTTTGTTTTTTCTAATTAAAAAATACAGTTAGGTAACAGATGTTTCCATAAAGACCAAGCTCTAGCAAAATGATCTGCAGCACATAATGAATATTCTTGTTATAAGACACATCTAAAATATTTTGGCTTTCTAGAGCTGTCTGGTTGAGAGATACACAACAGGAGCATTACCAAGAGAATTCCCACCAGAAATATTGGAGGACTTGAGAAGTCGCAGACAATTAGAAGCAATCAGGCAATCAATCATCTCCAAACTTTATCCAATCAAGACTCATAAAACTGTTATTTAATATGACTTTGTCAGCCTACTGCTCCTAAGAGACTTCCTGCTCGTAGACGGAAAAAAAAGACACGTGATGCTAATCTTTCATGTAAAGGAAACAAGACCAAACTAATAAAATACAATTAGCAAATCTGCTCAGTGCAATGGAAATCAGCCAAATCTGCTGCCTTAAAAGTTTTTACATGTTAGTTAGTGCCAATTTTCCTTTCTCTCATGTTTTCAGAAATTTCAAATGACTCTCTTTTCAGTTGCATGGTTTAGCTTCTATATTAGGATAATCAACCATAGTTTCATTGGGGAGTAAATGTTCTTTTGTGAGAGTATTGGAATAGGAGGGGCAGATTGTATTTGGTATGCTATTAAAATCCCCATTTGTCTTAATCTTCTTCATACACACCCTTAGGGCTATGAGAAAAAAAATAAATGCACAGGTTGTTTCTCGTGAAATGCTGACACTGCACGAGACAGACTTCTTGTGCATGGAGATAGTATTTTCACACAGTAACACCTCAACCAAAGAATGATTGCATTTTATCACCTATAAAAGTTATGTCTTATTTTTAGGCTTCAAGATAGCAGCATAAATGCTGTCTGTTTGCATAGCAAAATATCTGACACTGCTCAGGAACAAATTACCACACTCTTGAAGTTCTGTGTTATATCTGACATTCAGAGATGTTGTTAATTAAGTTTTGACAGCTGTTGTCAAGTCTTTGCTTCAGCTTGTTTCACGAGTCGAAACATGCCAGAATCAACTACAAGTTTTATGAAAAATTGCTGCAACCGAGGATTACAACAGAAGACAGAGAAGAAAAACAAGTGAGCCACTAAAAACAAATGAACCTCCAGGACCAGATAACTGAATTCCAGCTATAAACAAAGTGGTCAATCAAGTTACAGAATCAGCAGTGGAGATTTTTAGCTCCTGACAAAGAAATCATTATTATAAAAAAAAGAGATAAAGGAAAACTAGGAAACAGACCTTTAAGTGTGACCTTTGAACTGAAAAAGATTCTGAATCCATTGAATGACAAAAAAAAAATAATGGAAAATTTCCACAGGAAAATCCAGATCGAAGACAGTTGGGTGCCTGGGTATGGTGGTGATGTTATGCTTAGAATTATTTTAAAATGTATCGGTTAAGATGACAGCAAGAGCTGTAATTGATAACATTGCTACAGATACATTTTAGGAAGCTATTAAAATATAAATAAAAGGGGAGTTTGCATGCTGAAAGAATTAGGCACAAAGATAAATACTGAATAAGAACTGTATATTCCTGAGAACTGCCACTTATTTTTGACAAACTGATGATGTGTTGTTGTTAATTTACCACAGAGATTCTCTCTAACTTTCATTGCTTTGGTGAATTTTTCATTGATCTTAAATAATTCTAGTAGAATTAAATGGTTTATTTCAATTTTGCTTTCTTTCCAGTGGTTTTAATCACCCAGGTTTTTCACTGAACAAGAATCAAACCGTAAATATTAGTAAATAGTCTCACTAGTTCTAGGTATAGCATTGCTAAAAATAGTTTGTTCTACAACATATTTAGGCCTTTTGAATTATCTTTAGGATTTTTAAAGGAAAAATATCTGGCACTTCTATGTATACAATCACTCATTTTCCTCTCCATGAGATCCTGAGGCACAATTTTAAAGATATTGTCCAGATATTGCACTCTTCTCTCATGAGCATCCCTAGTGCTACATATCCGTGAGAAAGTAAGCCTCGTGTATGTGGCCTTGAAACAGTGAATCATGCCTTGGTCAAGAGGTTGGAGGATGGGGAGGTGGTATTGTGGGGGAGAAAGACGACTTCAATGTCATTATGCGGAAACCAGAGTGCCGCAGCGTGGCCAGGAGCATTGTCTATGATCAGCAACACTTTAAAGTCAAGTCCTTTCTCTTCGAGATACCGCTTGACCTCCGGAATGAAACACTTGTGGAACCAATCCAGAAATAATACTGCCATCACCCAAGCCTTTTTACTGATTGCCAGAACACAGGCAGGAGATTTTTGTTCTTGCCTTTTAGGGCACGGGGATTTGCAGCCCTGCAGAGCAAGCCTGGCTTTATTAAATGCCCAGCCACATTGCCACAAAACAACACAAGTCACATGGTCTTTAGCTGCTTTGAAGCCAGGGGTTTGTCTTTCTGTTTTCGAAGTGTTAAGTGCAGTTGGGCATTTTTTTCCAGAAGAGCCCAGTCTTGTCAGCGTTAAAAACTTGTTCCGGAAGATAGCCCTTCTCTTCTATGATTTTCTTTAATTGTTCGGGGTAGGCTTTTGCTGCCTCTTCATTGGCAGATGCAGCTTCACCAGTAGTCTACACATTTTTGAGATTGAAGTGGTTCCTAAAACTGTTAAGCCAACCTTAGCTGACTTTGAATTCCTTCTCATCAGAAGGCTGTCCCTCTTCGGCGGTAGGTTTGAACAGCGCATAGAGGCTAAGAGCCTTTTCTTGCAATGTGTTGCCATCAATGAGCACACGTTTACGGTTCATGTCTTCCAGACATAAGTTTAATGCCTTTTCAGTCTTCACTAAAGTCTTATCACGCACCTGGCTCATCACCTTAGCAGTTATTGGAGCACTTGATGCCATGGTGTGACGAATTTCTCTCTCTCGAATCTTGATGGCACGGATGCTAGATTAGTTGCGGCCATATTTATGCGCCATGTTGGAGACCGGCATACTGTCTCTCAGTAAGTCCAACACAGCCAGTTTTTCCTCCAGTGTTGGAACAGATCGCTGTTTCTTTGGTTGAGCACCAGATGAAGTAGTTGGCTTGCGTTTAGGGGCCATGTTGTACAAAAAATATGTGCAGTATCTTTAAATACTGGAATCACACTCCGCGTGGTGAGATGCTCACACTATGAGAATCACGTGGGAACTGAGACCGACTGAGGGAACAGCAGATTCACATCTCCCATCTCACGGTCACTCTGGGGCATACGCTCATTGAGTGGAATGGTGGGCAGAATCACCCGCACTATTTACAGGTATCTTGTTATTTTTCTTTTTTTTTGCCGAGCGCGTATAGTTGAATTCACGTAAGTTAAATGCGCATATGATGCAACTCACCTGTACCTGTTAGGTTCACTCCCTCTGGGGCACCTGGCATTGGCCACTGTCTGTAGACAGGACACTGGACTGGATGGACCTCTGGTCTGACCCAGTATGGCCACTCTTATGTTCACTGTCGTGGCATCATTGTCTTTTTTTATTTTGAGGAGCAAGAGGACATAAAGAGAAAATTAATCACAATGTATTTTTTAATCTCCCTGAAGATCAGTTTTTGAAACGAATGTATAGTTTTACGGTTCAATTTATTTTTGCTTATTTTTGCAACATCGTGCATCTTTTTTGAGATCTACATGTGCTCTGCAATTTACTTTTCATGGAAAATTTAAAAAATAATGACTTTTCACAGCATGATACATAATTGTTGGTTTATTGCCTACTGTTAGGAAAAATCACTTTTTAATCCTTCTTCAGCATGCTTAGATGGCCTCAGACCCCCCTAGCAAAGGTAAAAGCTACTAGCTATTCAATATCATATCATCTGAATTCCCAGTACCAGATACATTAACACATTTCCCATATTGCTATATAATCCCTCATCTAAGCAGCTTGTTTGTTTGGATCAGTATATTTCCCAGGCTATGACATACTAAACAATTAAAAAGAAAAGTGTCTTGGGTTTTAAGTAGGACACATTCTTGTAATGAGCACACAACTGTGCATCCATCTTTCTTCTCCATGGGCTCCTTGCCTCTTCTAGAAGGCCAGCAGGGAATGAAGTATTAGGGGCAGAATGGCATAGGAGCCATTGGATTTGTATTTATTGTGATCTAGTGGCCAGAAACCTGAACAGGGTAAAGTGAGCAATGGCCTATAGTCTGAAATGACAACTCAAGTGTGTGGTGAACACCAACCCCACAACACCCACTTAGTTCCCTACACAAAGCATGTTTATCCTTACTTGGGGAGGGAGAAATGAATTTCATTGCATACTGGCTTTATAATTAAAATATGCAACTCAATAAAATAAAATAAAATTAAAAAAATCAGTCAGAAACATCGCCTGAGGATATATCTAATACAGGATGCTATTTTATTTTCCCTTTTCATGTCTTTTTATCATCTTCACAGGGAGTTCATTAAATCTGGAAAGCTATTGAAATTCTGTCAGTGGATTGTATTACTATAGCGACTATCGATCCAGGCTACTGTGAACCATAACAACATGCTTCCATAAAGTTGGATAGTATCAGCAATCTGTTGCTGCTACTGCATTGACTTCATTTATCCCTTGTGAATGGAATAGTGAAATATTTTTGGATGCATAATCTTTGTCCGGAATGAATGAAAAAAGTTACATGATATGGCTCGAGTCAAATTAAGTCAACTTTTCCATTAAAATTCCTTGATAAACAATACACACTTTGTGCAAATTTCACAAATATGACATTAGGATTTAATCAATTCTTCCATACTGTGAGAGTAAAATAGAATTATTTATCTGGAATATGATACAGTATTGCCTTATAAACTCTAAACTTTTGGCTATAGTGCAATATTTTCTGGTAAAGGTTAAACCACCGGAACTGCTTGACAGTGTCAGATGGACTTCGTGATCTCTGAAGACACAGTATTATTTGTTATTTGTATTGCTCTAGCACCTAGGAGCCCTAGCCATGGACCAGGACCCAATTCTGCTAGATGCTGTACAATCACAGAAGAAAAAGACAGTTCCTGCTCCAGTGAGTTTACAATCTGCGTATAAGACACAAGACAACGGGTAGATACAGACCAGTGGGGAAATGCAAATAAATAATGAGACTAAATGAAATGAAAATTAATATAATGAATGAATGAAAATCCATGCCAGTATAAAGGGCCAGCATTTACGTCTTTAAAATATGAATTACATGCATCTTAAATTATGCATAGTCCTTATACTAGTTAGTTTCAGCCAATATGAGCTCCAGTTTCAGCACACTTTTATCCTGAAGGACCACATTTTACAGGAACTCTTTTAAGAGATTCTTCTTGATATAGCATAAAATAATTCACCTATATTATAATGGGTGGAGCTAATCACACTACCTATAGTTAAGGTTGCTTAACACTTTCCATTACAAGATCCATGCTTTCACCTGCCATTTTAAACTCTGTGGGCGGAAATACTCCATCCTGGTGTCTACCGCAGGCTGAACTTTTCTGGAAAGTTTGAGCAGGAATGGTTTAGCCATTTCAAAGAAAGATATTGGGGAAAATAAATTGTTTTGCCCATGTTTAAATATTCTTATAATCTTTCAATTGCGCCACACAGTCTCAAAATCTGGCATAATGATTGCCCCATGCCTTACAGGATGGAATTTTTGGTTTTTCAGGTTACTTATTAAAAATCTTAGGAAATTCCATTAAAATTAATTAAAAGGATACTAAGGTTGCAAAGTCAATCACTTCAAAGTTGGGAAATTAGGTGTCCTACAATCACCTGCCTCATTCACTTCACAACCCTGATTCATCCCCAGAGCATATGCTGAATGAAACAGGGGTCCTGTTGAAAAACTAGTACGATCATGCAATTGAAGACTATATTATAAAGCATACGCACAAGAGTGCCAAATTAAGATGGTTTAGCAACCTTAATTCTGGCATTTCCTAACCTTTGAGTGCTTTACTTTGCAACCTTAACATTCTCTTAACACTGCTTTTGGAAGGTTATATATTATATAACTTTAAAGAGTACCTCCCTCTCCAACGTCCCACCAAGATATTCATCGTGCTGTACAACTATTTATAAAAAGTATCATAAAACATTATAAAATGGAATGTGATATCAAATAATCACACGCAAACTGAACTAGAAGCATGCTGAAACTGAAGCAGAGCAAAGTGAAGGACTCTACATAAGTGTGGAGACAATGTCATAAAAAATCTTAGAAAGCAATAATAGTTATTTCTTAGAAATGGGAAACAATGTACTGAAATTGAAACGGTAATGAGGAATATACTAGAGCCACCAGAGCAAATATTCAATTACCTGCAGCCTAGAACATGATAAAGAATCCTTAGAAGTCAGATGGCATTGAGAGTTCATATACTGATAGCTTCCAAGGCAAGTAAGAACCACTGCAATCATCTAGATCATAAATGATCTGGAGAAAAGGGTAAACAGTGAGGTGGCAAAGATTGCAGACAATACTAAACTGCTCAAGATAGTTAAGAACAAAGCAGACTGTGAAGAACTTCAAAAAGATCTCACAAAACTAAGTGATTGGGCAACAAAATGGCAAATGAAATTTAATGTGGATAAATGTAAAGTAATGCACATTGGAAAAATAACCCCAACTATACATACAATATGATGGGGGTTAATTTAGCTATAACTAATCAGGAGAAAGATCTTGGAGTCATCTTGGATCGTTCTCTGAAGACGTCCATGCAATGTGCAGCGGCAGTCAAAAAAGCAAACGGGATGTTAGGAATAATTTAAAAAGGGATAGAGAATAAGATGGAGAATATCTTATTGCCCTTATATAAATCCATGGTACTCCCACATCTTGAATACTGTGTACAGATGTGGTCTCCTCATCTCAAAAATGATATACTGGCATTAGAAAAGGTTCAGAGAAGGGCAACTAAAATGATTAGGGGTTTGGAACAGGTCCCATAAGAAGAGAGATTAAAGAGGCTAGGACTTTTCAGCTTGGAAAAGAGGAGACTAAGGGGGGATATGATAGAGGTATATAAAATCATGAGTGGTGTGGAGAAAGTGAATAAGGAAAAGTTATTTACTTGTTCCCATAATATAAGAACTAGGGGCCACCAAATGAAATTAATGGGCAGCAGGTTTAAAACAAATAAAAGGAAATTCTTCTTCACACAGTGCACATTCAACCTGTGGAACTCCTTGCCTGAGAAGGTTGTGAAGGCTAGAACTATAACAGGGTTTAAAAGAGAACTAGATAAATTCATGGAGGTTAAGTCCATTAGTGGCTATTAGCCAGCATGGGTAAGGAATGGTGCCCCTAGCCTCTGTTTATCAGTGTGTGGAACTGGATGGCAGGAGAGCAATCACTTGATCATTACCTGTTAGGTTCACTCCCTCTGGGGCACCTGGCATTGGCCACTGTTGGCAGACAGGATACTGGGCTGGATGAATCTTTGGTCTGACCCAGTATGGCCATTCTTATGTTCTTAGTCTGATTGCCTTTACAGTACAGGCCACAGAACTTCCCCAAAATAACTACATTTCCACCTTATTTCCAGGCTAAATTTGTCTAGTTTCAACTTCCAGCCATTGGGTCGTGCTAGACTGAAGAACTATGCTAGGCTGAAGAGCCCATTATTAAATATTTGTCCCCCATGTAGGTACTTATAGACTGTAATCAAGTCACTCCTTAACTTTCTCTTTGTTAAGGTAAATAAATGGAGCTCCTTGTGTCTATCACTTTAATCATTCTTGTGGCTCTTCTGTGACCCCTCTCCAATTTATAAATATCCTTCTTGAATTGTGGGCACCAGAATGGACACAGTACCACAGCAGGGGTCACACCAGAGCCAAATACAGAGGTAAAGTAACTTCTCTACTCCTGTTCAAGATTCCCCTGTTCATGCCTCCCAAATTGTATTGGCTCTTTTGCTCACAGTGTCACACTGAGAGCTCATATTCAGCAGATTATCCACCATGACCCTCCAATGTTTTTCCGTCACTGTTTCTTCCAACCTGTAAGTATGGTCTACCTTCTGTACTGCACAGTCATTTCAGTAATTAGGGACATGTAAAATCCACCTCTATAAACATTCACTGGAAGCCACCAAATATATTTCACTTGGGCCTTCAGGATACTTTTGTATATGATGGTCTCAAAACATTATCTTCTAAAACTTGCTCTTAAACATTACAGTTGCCCCTACCTGTGTGTAACACATCAGTTTTGCAATGTAATATCATTAATTAAAGATGAACTGAAAAGCAATGCTGGAAAATCTCCCACTGGCAATAAAGGAAGCGTAGAGAATGCAACAGATTTTGTCCTCTGGTTAAAAGTGGTCCCAGTCTTCCCATCTCTTCTGGACTTGTTGATTATATTTTCATGTTTTTTGGATTGTAATTTATTTGCTTACTAAAGACTACTATAAAAGATCATTTAAAATGAGGCAGAGGTTGTGTTGGGGAGGAGGAGGGAGGCGACTCTCACA